TCGTAATTATAATTTTTTCTCCGGTTATCAACTGCTTTTTTAAATCGACTTCCCACCCTAAATTCAAACCCTCAAATTGAGGCGGCAAACAAGAACCCCTTGTTAAGGACAATCGAGACTAATTCTGTTGACAGATGAGATCGTACCCTCTAATCGCATTTTTTATCTCGCGGAAAAAAAAAATATTGACAAAAAATTTCAGCTGCATTATTTTCCAATTATCCGTTTTGCTCTTCGCAGTTTAAACAACACGTAAAATCCATTCCATTCTATTTTTCATTTATTTTTACATTTGAAATATTCGGAATTTCAAACCAATTTCGGTTTTTTAAACCGTACGAGATAATTTTTATTGAAAAAATAATTGGAGTAAAGAGAGAATTTTATTTTGCGACTATTGATTTGATTATTTTTATTACTTGTTATTAAATCAAGAAAATTTAAAATTTGGGACGAAATTAATTTTTGTTTAACGAGAAGATTTAATTGAATTCCAAATTAAATTAGATTTGTAATTTTTTATAAAGAAAATTTGATGGATTAATTCGGAAGAATTAGCAGAAAGTGTAAATTAACAAATAAATAATTCATTGTTTTTTTTTTGACTTACCAACTTCCCTCCATGCTGACGTCTCGGCGAACTCAAAATACAAAAAAACTCCTGTCTTTACCTCAACAATAAAGGACGGACTCGCGAATAAAACTCATAACTCTCAAAAAATAACTCTCAACTGTTTTTCTTTTAGCGAAAAAGGCACAGGTCGGTGGGGACGGGTAATTTAACATTAAAAGGCTACTAGGTGACACAACAACGTAAAACCCATCGAAAACTAACGTAATTGAAAAAATATCACATTCAAATTTTCCCGCGCATAAATACCGGGAAATTCAATAATCCCTCACGCGAAAATATTTCAAAACCCATTATTTCCCGGCACAAACCTGGACGGCAGTAATAAGGCACAAGTATGGCGACAACCGGAAGCGGAATCGAGGGCACTCAAAAAAAAAAAATAAAAATAAAAAAAACCGCGAAAATTCAAAAACTTAAAGCGAGCAGAAATGAGTTATCATCGGAATTGAGGGAAAAACCGTTGGGAGAATTAATTCGGAATAGAAGGCACTTGGATATTTGCGGACTTGGGGATGAAATATCAAAGGATTTTTACAAGTTTGGGATAAGGGGGGGATAAACGATAGGGTAGAGAGGAACTAGGATGTTACCCCGACGGCTGTCGCCAAAGAAGTGATGTGTCTGTGGCCTCGCTGGAGGCACCCGGTGGTGTATCCCTATTATTTGCGCGCGCAGGGTGAATTTTACCACCACCACATAATGCCAAAAGCCACCCCCTTGGTGATTGTCAAGGAAGAAATTGGGGGTTGGGAGGGGATGGGAAAAGGAATGAGAGGGCCATTGAGAGGGGGATCATCATCCCCCCCTTTATTCATCCCCTCCCTTGATGCGGGATTGCTGTGGACTCGTGCATCATCCCCCACCCTCTCTCCGTCTTGGCAATCACTTTGGTAAGACCAGAAAAAGTTAATGTTAAAAGAAGTTAGACTTTTTTTGAGATTTCAAGTTTTAACTTGAGACATTGAAAATCTCAAGTGAATTCCTGGAAAAGATTGGGAATTGCTGAGACTTCCGGTGAAACTTTTGGAAATGTTAATTTGAGACAGGTCTTGACGTGAGATTTTAAAAATCTCCATTTAAGGGTGAATTTAATGTTCTGCATCCATATCTAGCCAAAATTGACGCTTTTTTCATTTTTTGTTAAAAAATGTAACTTTTTTGCGGTTTGTCATTTAATTTTTATGAATTACAAAAGTATATATACCAAAATTTTTCTGCGTTTTTTATAACCTTTTGAAAAGAATCACGAAACGGGAGAGAGAATGCATGAAAATTATCGAAAATTATTATAATTAACGAGAACACGCTAAAACGGTATATTTTTCACATTAATCCCATCGAAAAGTCGCAAAAAAAAATTTTTCAAGTCCAGCTTTTAAACATCAAAAATTCCCCTTCAACCCAAAGTTCCCCACACGCGATGTCTTCGTTCAAAATTCAAGTCTCGAATTAAAATTCTCAAAGTCGGACTTGTTAAAGTCTTGGATAATCAAATTGACTCATTGGAACTCGCGAGAAGTCCCATAAAATCACCAAAAATCCCTTACCCTCTCAATTCTAAAGTCGCCCCAACACCACCCCAAAAATTCCGTTCTTCCTCCTCTTCCCCTGATTACCCCCGATTTCTCCCGCTGCCCCCCCCCCGCAATAATTTCTCTCAATTATTCTCGACAAAAAAAAATAAGTAAATAAATGAAGAAAACCGTAACCAAGAAAAATGAAAGCTCTCAACAAGGGGTAGTTCTTACCGCACCGCTGGATTCCAAAAATCCAGTCCCCAGCAGTGACAAAAAAAAAACCCCACCCCAAGGGCGATACTGGTGATAATGCAAAAGCCCAGGAGGTAGTTACTGTCCAAAAATCTGACCCCGAAAAAAGGAAAATTGAAGTTAAGCGTTGACGATGGAATGGCAGAGGGGAGGAACGAGAGATTCTGGAGATGCAAGATGTCACTCAGAGGCACGACGTGTAAGGGAATGGTCACTGCTGGGGGTGAATTGAGATGTACAGGAAATTTATGCACTGGTGCTTTCAGCCAGGAAGTCAGGGGGATGGCAACACAAGGGGTGAGTTAGATGGATTAATCTTTTTTCCTTTCTACGTGTGAATTTTCCTGCCACGACTCTTCGCTGATGAATTTCTTTCCTCTCACATTTCCGACATGTGGGGGACCCTTCAATTGACATTAGATTGTTTAAAAAATACAAAAAATATTATATAAATTAAAATACACTTTACTATGGGGGAGGGGTTATAATACCACCAAGTGCTCGCCAATGGACTGTGCCACATGAAAAAAATATATATCAATTATATCCGAATATATATCGCATATATTTCAGCATCAAATGCATTATCCGAAATATAATTTTGATATATCTGAATATATATCACCAGAGGATATATTTATATATTTATCCTAGCTGTGACCGGTTGATATATCATTATTCAAAATATAAGTTGGATATATTTAAGATATTATTTCGCTGAAAACAATATATCTGTTATAATTTTTGGATTATATATTTTCCATGGGGGGGGGGGTGAATATGAAAGGTTGCATTTTTGTCTGGTAATGCAATACCGTAATTCAATTTTAAATAATTTAAACAGAGTAGCTTCTTCTCAATATTTATAATTTATAAAAAATTCTCATAATTTTTAAAAACCTCGAATTATTACTTTCCGCGGAATATCGAAATTTTCTATTTCTTTAGCACGCGGAAGTATCGAATCATCAGGATATTCAAATATCCTGAAGGATAAAAGATGATTCAGTGATTCCTGTGGCGCCTGAAATTCTAAAAGGATAGGATCAATTCCCTAAATGCAACTGATGATTCAAACGATGGGATCTTCACAATCTATATGCTACGACCCCCAAAATTGTTCTGTCATTGCCGTTCATTCAAATCTCATCTGCAGATTAACTCGTCGTCATAAACACGAGCAGATGGTGCGTAAGATCCTCATTAGAGATTAAAATAGAACGCCGAGGGTAACTGACGGAAAAATTTTTGTCGGTGTGATAGCAATTTTCTGGGCTCGGATTGAGGATATGGTTGAACGCTTGCGGTATTCAACCCCGTGGAATCCCAGGATTTTGGTGGCCATTTGTGAAATTACACGAGATCTTATCGAATTTATCGAACGTATCGGATTTACGAGCGTCACCTGTTCAATCGGGGCTTTTCGATTTCAATCCGACTGGTCAGTCTATTCTTTTTGGTTATTTACACTGGCGATTTAATTAAATCAGACTTACGATGGATTTAAAGATTATTAAAAACTCCAATGAATTTATTTATTTTTTTTTTTTCGCTTCCATTCGATCCGAGTATTCATCCATTTCTACTATTTCTGTTCAGTTATTTCTGAAAATTAGAGTGCCGCGAAATCGTACGATTAAATTCCAGACAAATTAACAAACTCTGTGCAAATCAAAGTCATCAATTAAGTAAAGTGCTTCATCAATTTTAGATATTGAGTAATTAATGCTGCTCGTGTGATTCAAAGACAAAAAGAATTATTAAAACATGTCAATATCCGATTTAATTCCTTCGAATTTTTCTCCCGCAATTATTAATTAACAATTAGCTGAATAATGAATTAAATAGAGTGTTTAATCAATTTTGGAAATTCAGTAATCGATGGTTTACGTATAATTTATCCAAACTATTTTTAAAAGGACTTCATTGGAGAGAGAAAGAAATTTAAAAATACGAGTGTCAGGCGCGATTTTTTCGAATTCTCCTCACAGAATTATTTAAAAAATAGTGAATTTGTTCTTCACCAAGTGCAAAATATTCAAGGACTCCATTTCATCAAATTCTCCACCTCAAGATGGCACTCCCCTTGGAAATAGACTCCCCCTTTTCGACAGCTATCCCTAACACGAGCTCCTCATCATCACATGCCTATTCAAATTTAACGGTCCATATTTGTCGCAATTAAGTGTTATGTTTAGTGGCATTCACGACGAGAAAATATTCCCATATTGGGTGGTGTAGTGCCCTCGTTGCAACGAGTTGAGGATGTGGCACTTGGTACAAACCAGAGAGGTAGACAGCTAGGGGGGACAAACTACGTGGATTTTACGACAGACTCGTGCCTAGGAGACCACCAAGGGGTTGGCTAAACTCGCGTCTCAAGGATGATTCACTCGATTTTACTTTTGTCATCTACCTTTTTTTATCTGTTCCTCCAATTTATCACCCCCTCAACACGCACCAATCGCCATATCACCCCTTCACTCAGAGAAAAACTCATTTACCACATGAAAATTTCACCAAAGAAATACCAAAAAATTTCCCTCAATCTTTTTCCAATGCATTCAATATTCATAAATAATTTCTTCATCACTCACCCTCCAAATAACACCCTCAGTCAAATAATTTTCCCCAAACTCTCGAAGACAGCGTCAGGAATTCTTATCGTCTCGTTGTTGTCGATCGTTGAATATGTCGTGTCTGCAATAGAAAGAGTAACTGGTGAAAAAAAAATATAAATAAATGCCAAGTGGAAAAAAAAAAAGAAATAGGGAAAGGTGCTTTGAGGAGGGGATACGAAAATGAGGACAGGGTCCAGAGGATGGAGGGTAGTGAGGACGAGGGGATGATGGGGGGGTGGTAAAAGTCGGTAAAGTAAGGATGAGTATGGCGGCAAGGTGGCGGACGCCGGGGGTGGCGCCGCGACGCTCTGGCGCCTCTCATCCCCTCCCTCCCTCTTCAACCCTCTTTCATCCCTCTCACATCCCCTCTTCAACTAGACGCTCCAGCGATGCTGGGATACATGTACCTGTAATTCCACCCATAACCTCTACAACTTCACATTTTCACTTTAAGGGATGTACTAACAGATAACAGATATCGTATCCAGAAATATTGATAACGATTGGTGGATCGACTTGTTTGAATCGAGAGACGAAATTTCCACTTGCGTTTTATATTTTTATGGGAATAAATCCTCTCATTTTCTGTTTCATTTTAATGTTTGACTCTAGGTATTACTTGAGTTCAATTTCCGGCATTGTCTAGTGGCTAAGATACACCTCCTCAGGAACAATCAATTGTTCTCCTTTTAATTACAAATTGATAATGAAGAAATACTTGAAATGGACATCTTGGTACATGCCAGTCAACCAACGCAGAACATCCACGAATAAGAAAATTTAACAGAAATCAATTAGAAAATGCGATACGCAATTTAATTGATAACTGATTGACCTCACGACATGCGTCATGCAGTTGGCGATATAAATTTTCGGTATGGTCTAGTAGCTAGGACGTGCCCCTCGTTAAAGGGAAAGCAGAAACTTCAATCGAATTCAATTTGACAGCCACAATATGAAAATCTTGGTGGAGGTCTTTTCTCATATCGAACATTTTTTAAGACTCTTGAATTCCACTCTGATGATTCATCCATGCAGGGATGTAAAATATCAATTCAATATTTTCCGTTGATATTGCGTTCTGTCGGATTTAACGACGACAATATCCGATAAAAAAAACGACGCAGATAACTAATAAGAAGCAGTACCCCATGGTAATGCGTAATCTTGTAATGGGCTCGTTAGACACGTACTTCAGTTCGACCATCATTTATATCGGTCATAAATCCCGGTGGATGTAGTTCAATCAAATGACCTCCCCCTCCCCGACTCACCCCTCACCTTGAGATTATAGCATCTGGTGGGGAATAATGTTAATACTGGGGTTTCAATTGTCAGAATTAATTTATTTTATCAACAAATCTGATTGTTGCCTAGCAAATTTTAAATTGGACATCTTGTCCAGAAAATGCACTTCAGGGACAGCTTTCTGATGAGTTAACAACGATTAATAGTCATATTTAATTATTAATATTTGGGTTATTAATTAGGTATTAATATTCGTTAGAGGCTCCCATTGGCTGCCATTTAAATCTGCAATTCAGATAAAAATAACTAGATCTGGAAAAGTCCGCGGGTCTTAAATCTCATAATATTAAAGGGAGAAAGGAAATCGATCTCGAAATATCTCGAGATATCTCGAATCACCGTAACGATAAGACCCGAAAAAAGAAACCGACGCGCCACCACGACATCGTAGCTAAACCTCAAACATTTCGAATGAGCGCGCATGCGTAGACGATCCCGTAAAATAAAAATGCATAACCCAAAGTCCCCGTAAATTCTGGCCCACGATTTATTCAGTCGTATCGAAAAATCCGGCCTTTTCATTCCCGAAAAAAAAAAATGGGTTTCCCCCATTTCGGATAAACACCGGGGAACCCCCTATATTTATCGACCTTATCCGTACCCCAAGAAAACTTGAACCAAGGGAGAAAAATAGTAAAAATTCACGACAAACCGATGATAGAATATAAGGATAATCCATTAGAGGAGGTTGTAACCCAAAACTGGACAAACAAGGGTGGTTTTCGTGTGGATTAAACGTAACGCCAGGACCGATGGACCACAATGGGGTGACGGATAATCATCATCACTAAAAGCCTTTTTGTCCAGGGATCGGTGACGAAGATGCGTGGAAACAGGTGTGGTATTTTCTTTTTTCTCTGTGAAAATGGGGTAATTCATCAGATTTTTGTTCAGACGTCTTCATTACAAGCATCAATCACTCGAGAAGAAGACGAGAGGAATAATCAATTATCATGGGGTTATCCTCAGTGAGCTGAGAGGGTGATCGGTGTCGATCAATAGTGTTGAACTTCATGAAGGCAAAGATTAACTTTATGTATTTTTCATTAGTCGTTGTAGATTACCACAGTCTCACAAATTTAACTAAAAGCAAGATGAAACAGATATAAATTCTGATTGGTAGAAATCCTATTTGATAGGGCACTCAGACAGCTGACATTGTCCAGGAGTTGTTTTCATATCAATCGAGGGGCGAGAGTAGTCCACGATTCAATCAATGATACTGTGCTCGTGCTTTAAGAGCGAGAGGAGAGAAAAAAGCCGAGTTAATGCACCTCGGATACTGTTACTATTTACTCGGAATCGACTTATCTTTATCGGAAATCAAACGAGACCTGAATGTACGAAAAAAATGCTGAAAAAATAATTCCGTTGATTTTTCGTGGAGGTTGTGGCTAGGAGGGGAGAAACATAAGAGCGTATTCGGAGAATATAAAAAAGAGAAAAGAGAAGAAAATTCATGTCTGCGTTAGATTGCGGTTTTCTGCTGATAAAGACCGATACGTTATTTTTCCGCGGGGGGTCCATTTTTTT